TAAACCAGCATCCTAAACCGGGGGGGGGGGGGTCAATTGACTGGCATTTCATTTTATGTGAATTGAAGTTTCATGCTTTGTTAACCTGTTCTGGTTTTTGTATATTGGGTGAACCCTGCTTATAGGTAAATGTAGATCTAGATTTTTAAAAAGCCTCTCCTTCTGAGTAAAAAGAAATTGAAATGATCCAAAATGCCAAATATCCTGAACGTTCCAGCTCAGAATGGGGATGAGTGTTGATGAATGGTCCAACCCACTACTTTCTGATTGTCTGAATATTTTTTTTTTAATAAGAGAATCACAAAATGGAGCTCATTTGTTCATCTTCTTTAGAGATGTTATTTCTTTGTCTAAGAGAACCTAATGGCTTTTTCGGTATTCCCATGGCTAGATGAACATTGCTATGAATCAAAAAGCATTTGGAGATACACAACTTTCCTTGCACTAATTTAGAATTGTGTTATAGGACAGAGAAAGAATGGCAAGCCGTCCTTTAGCAAGTGTGGGAACTGGAAAAGGCCCTTCCGGTGCTCAGTCTGGAATCCACGGGGAGATCTGGGCAAGAACTGGGCAGAAGATGCTGGAAGAAGGAACCATCGTTTCACAAGTTCACGCCTGGAACTTCAGGCGCGTCCAATATCAGGAGGATGAGGGTCCCCGAGGACTTTGCAGCCGACTCCACTACTTTTGTAGCCGATGGTTGAGACCAGAAAAGCACACAAAAGCGCAGATGCTGGACCTGGTGGTTCTGGAGCAGTTCCTGGCGCTTCTGCCCCTGCAGATGGAGAGCTGGGTGCGGGAGTGTGGAGCAGAGACCAGCTCCCAGGCGGTGGCCCTGGTGGAAGGCTTCCTCCTGAGCCAGGCGGAGGAGAAGAAGGAGCAGGTTGAGTTGCAGGTGAGAGGACTTCCTCCTGGACTCCAGAAAAAGTTGAATATAATAAACAATATGTTCATATTTTTGTATCATTTGTATAGTAGGAAGTGGTAGGTGAGAAGGAAAGAGAAAAAAGTATAGAGGAAAAGGGAAAACGAGAAAGAAAATCATTGACCTTATTTTTTTAGTAGTCACATAAAATGGAAATATTACGGCCTCAACTTTTTGTACTTTTATAAATTTAATATGTACTAGCAAATTCTATAAAAACAAACATGTAATTAATAAAACTCAGTCAAAGTTTCATTTTTTTCCATCTCAAGAACAAAATCCAGCAGTGGTTTCCAGGTAGAAACAAGGTTGGGTGTCGGCTTTTCTTTAATTAAAGCAGTTAATTTTTCCATCTCTGCTAGTTCCATCAGTTTTTCCAACCACTTCTCCATTGTGGCTATTAAAATATCCATCTGCTTTTGTGCAAAAAGCATCCTTTCTGCTCTCAACATATATAACAGCAAAGTTTGAGATTGTTGTTCAATCTCTTTGTCTATTACACCTAAAAGAAAAATCTCTTCTTTTATTTTCATACCCACTGTCACACGTCCAGCAGAGATGGTAAAAAGTTCCTTTTTTATATTTACATTTCAAACATGTATTTGAAATTCCTTTATACCTGTTTGGCAGTTTATCAGTGTTAAGTAGAAGGATACATCATTTTCTTTAAAAATTCATTTAAATTTTAATTTAATACAAATATTAAACTCTTCAACCACATGTCTTTCCCTTGTTCAGGCATTATATTATACACAAAAATTTTTGCCTTTGGATCAATGTATTCAAATTTTGATGTCTTCTTACCAGACTTTCCTGGCATTCATACTATGTGGAGATGCTTCACTAATCTTTGTGTAGTTCCCCTATCCATTCTAGAAGGATTTTGCACAGCCATTTCTTTCTTACTTCCCAGTCTAATTGATTGACACCAAGTGATTTGCAGTGCTGTTCACTAGAGAAGAAACCACTTCATGATTTGTGATGTCCATTAATTCTTTTCTCCTATTTCAAGTCCTTCGCAATGGAGATCAGAGATCCTGAGAGAAAGAGGCATCCATCAAATCTCCCTCAAGAACTGTTTTTCAGGGGGATCCCTCAGGGAGATCCAATTCAGGATACCTCAGGAGGTAATATAAGGGCCTTCCACTCCTTTGATCAATCCTAACTTTCTCATCTTCTCTGTGTCCTCTCCCCTATAGCATTCCTCCTCTCATTTTACTAATGATGCTTTTTGAAATTATGTCTTCCTCACAGGGAAGAATAGAAGGAAGTTGACTCTTTGTTCTGAGGAAGCGGAAACCGGGATTGAACCTCCAACTCAGGTAAGAGAAGAACATTCATTTACTAGATTTTTTTTCCCATTTCCCTCAGGAAATCAGCTGATATACATATTATAGGTATCCTTGACTTATGACAACAATTGAGCCCAAATTTTTTGTTGCTAAGTGAAACATTACTTAAGTGAACTTTGCTCCATTTTACCACCTTTCCTGCCACAGGTATTAAGTGAATCACTGCAGTTGTTAAGTTTCTAATATGGTTGTTAAGTGAATCTGGCTTCCCTAATGACTTTGCTTGTCAGAGGTTCACAGAAGGTGATCACATGATTCTGAGATCCTGCAACCGTCATAAATATGAATCAGTTGCCAACCACCCAAATTTCAATCATGTGGCCACAGGAATGCTGCAACAGTCACTAGCGTTGTAACTTTGAACAGTCACTAAAACTGTTGTAAGTCGAGGACTACCTGTACTGTCTTCTGCCATTTTGCCCTCTGCTTTTGGTTGAAGATTCTTTTTAGGATTTTTTTTAAGACCTGTACTTTAAAAACAAATGTCTTTTCACTAATTATTCTCCATGCTTTTCCGTAAAAAATGTTTTACAGAATTCTTCATGGTGCCCCTTCTTTTCGTAATACTTTGAGTTGGATTTGTGCAAGGATCCTCAAAAATATTTAAATAGTCAAGTTGGCAAATTACCATTTTTAAAAAGCTTCATTTATAATCGATAAGAAAAAGAAGAGGTTAACAGCTAAGATTATTAAAATCCCATGAGAGTGGCCCTATAGTAATGTCTCCAAGTACAAATTGTTCTGAAAGAGCACATAACCAAGGCCCTATTTGGTTTGCAAAGTAAATTTAAATCCTCTGATTTGTGCCTGGATTTGGATGGCCATCCAATCCAGCTTTGCAAAGGCTAAGAAATCTTTTCCTCAGAAAATGTTCTCCATTTTCTTATTTACATGCCAGCCAATAGCTCACAATACTAGCAGCTTCCTTGCAATCTGAGGAGGGGTAGAGTCTCTGGATGTTGATGGCACACCACACAGGTTGAGCTTTCCCAGGACTTTCATGAAGGTGTTGAGGATGAACAGGATTGCTCCTTTTTAGGACAATATACGCCATTTCATAAAATACTATAAAGAATCCCTTCCCTTACAGACATATTTCCTTCTTTAAACTCAGGAAGCAGGGGTGAAATGCTATCGGTTCGCTTTGGTTCAGGTTCCTAAAAAAGCTACCAGTTCCTCCGAACTGGTATTTCCGACGATCAGCTGTGCCGCGCGGTTTAGCTTTGCTAGAAAGCAAGAAATCCTGCTTTCTAGTGAGGTTAAAATACCCGGCACAGCTGATCCCGCCCCTCGTTGTTCTATTTACCTTCCCAAGCCTCCTTTTGACGCGTAGTGCTAGATCAATTGATCCGGAAGGAAACTGGGCTTAGTTAACGTAATGGCACTGAAAGACCTACAGAATCATTCAAGTTGATAAACCCTGCCTTTTTAAGTCAAATGCTTTGTCTTCTGCCCATTTTCTCATCGAAACGATGGATTCTTATTAAGCATAGCCACTTACCTCAGTGTATATGTTTGTTTTGGGAATTTCTAAATAATAGGAAAGATTCTGCAGTCCCTCCTTGGTCTCTTCTGTACTTTTTTTTCCCTTTCAGGAGGGTCTTCTGCCCTTTAAGGAGGTGGCTGTTTATTTCTCTGAGGAGGAGTGGTCTCAGCTGAATCCTCACCAAAGAGCTCTGCATTGGGAAGTCATGCTGGAGAATTATAAGAATGTGGCATCTCTTGGTAAGGCTTTCCTACTCTCCAGTCAGAGAGTTCAGGAAAACATTTTGTAGTTAGATGCCATTAGTTAGTTCTTCCGAAAACATCTCTAAATAGATGTCTTCTCTTCAGAGGGAGAAGGAAAAGTTATGTTTTTCTACTGCTCCTAGGAAGGAAATGGGTCCATGGCATTCTGCTTAGATTTATCCTACCTCATTTGTTTTCCTATTTCTACTGAAACATATTAGTGACAAAGTAATTCTTCGGTTTGAGATAATGCCAAACTCCATCACACAGATTTCAACTATTTTGGCCCAGATGTTTCCATTTCAGTCCTATCAAGAATTGCCATTCGGGTTTTTTGACTTAATGTCTTTTTTAAGGTTTTATGCCTCATCAATAGAGATATTATCATTTCTATACCATGCCATTATAAGGAAACAGTAGGCAACATATTGGAATTTGGCAAAATACCTGAAGGCAATCAGTATTTCCGACAGAGTGATCTTTTTGCTTAACCTTTCTATCACTTTTATTTCTCTTTCCCTTTGAAGGTGCTAATGAGAATGACAATAAAGTCTCTGGAGAACCAATCAAATTGTTTAGACAAAGAGATGTAATGGAAAATCCTATAATTCAAATGGAATTCCAAAGGCAGGAGAGAAATCCGTCAAATAACTGGAATAATGGAAGCTCATCTTCCATTGATGCTCAGATACAGGGCTTTATTGATCAACAAGGAAAAATACAGAAAGAATATATTGGGGAAGGTGTAAGACTATTCAAAGACACATTGGATATAAATGGGCATTATCCACCCCAAGCCAAAGTACAAGATTATATATGGAAAGACAGAGGAAAAAATTACAATTGGACTTGCACACTTTCTCAAGAAAATGGGTCTCTTACATCACAGAAAAGTATTTACATAGGAGAGAAGCCAATGGAGTATGGAAACAAGACTCTTAATAAAAGGATATGCACAAGGGAGAAGGCATTTAAATGCATGGAATGTGGAAAAGGCTTCCATATACACAGTCATCTTACATCCCATCAAAGGATCCATGCAGGGGAGAAGCCGTATAAATGCATGGAGTGTGGAAAGGGCTTCACCCACCATTATCATCTTACATCCCATCAATGGATCCACACAAGAGAGAAGCCTTATAAATGCATGGAGTGTGGAAAGGGCTTCACCCAACATTATCATCTTACATCCCATCAAAGAATCCACACAGGGGAGAAGCCATATAAATGCATGGAGTGTGGAAAGGGCTTCCGCATACACAATTACCTTATATGCCATCAAAGGATCCACACAGGGGAGAAGCCATATAAATGCATGGAGTGTGGAAAGGGTTTCAGCCAACATAGTAAACTTACATCCCATCAAAGGATCCACACAGGGGAGAAGCCATATAAATGCATGGAATGTGGAAAGGGCTTCCGCATACACAATTATCTTACATGCCATCAAAGGATCCACACAGGGGAGAAGCCATATAAGTGCATGGAGTGTGGAAAGGACTTTACCCAACATGGTCATCTTGTTTCCCATCAAGCAATCCACACAGGAGAGAAGCCGTATAAATGCATGGAGTGTGGAAAGGGCTTCAGAAGACCTCATACTCTTACTTCCCATAGCATGATTCATAGATGTGAAAAGCCAGTCCCATAACAAAGATACATTTGGGTGAGAATGTATGATAATTATTGATTTAGTGGGCTCAATCTATGGATATTAGATTTAAACAGACTAAACTCTGAAAATAAGTGGGGTTTTTTTGTAGTTCACCCTCCTAACTGGCAGCCCTAGAGAGATTGATTTAGTAATGAAAATTTTTGCAAGTTTGGAGGGGTATATTTCAGGATTTGAGAAATTCATGTTGGTTTATTCAAGTTATTCAATTACTTGGCAGTAATAGTTCTGTGTCAAGTTGGACAATAAAGAGACTGAAAAAGCAGAGAAATTAACTCAATTTTTAACACCCTTTTTTCTATCCATCTGCATTCTTTCTTTCACTAATTGTAGTTAAATCTCTTTTTTCTTCTTGCATTGTCATCTCCACATTCAGAGGAATCTCTTCAAACTATTGGAATCTTCAGGTTTTGTGGAAAGCTCTTTCACTATTCAAAGACAAAGTTATTCAAAACAACATAAATCAAGGGGAAAAAAATACATTCCAGCAGGGGGTTAAAATAAATCAGTATTCAGCCTTGTATTACGCTCTTGGTAGTTGGAATGGATGCTGTTAGATGTCCTGAGAGATGCATCTTACTCTAAAGTGCTGTCTTCATGCAATACATGAATAAGTACATGAATAAGAAACAAGCGGTGATTAATAGCTGTACCATACAGCTTAGTCCAAGAGTCAAATACTGCCTTAAGATCAGCAAAGTTTTAGAACAAACAGGAAAACCATTTGTCTGGGATCGTATAAAGTCTTTTGCCTTGGGCAGGAGGTTGGACTAGACTAGAGGATCTCCAATATCCCTTCCAGTCCTATGAGTCTGAAAGGCTGCATTAAGTGAAGCAATATTCTAAGAGTTGTACAGTATTTCTCAAAACAATGTTGAAATATAAGATCATGGTCACTTGTTGAAAGAACTTTCCTAAAAACAACTTGTTTATCTACCAATAGTCTTTCCTGTACCATCCAGTCTTTAAGCTTCCACTGAAAATATTCTTGCATAAAGTTTACTTATTTTATTTTTCATGTTATTGTACCTTTATTATTTTTACAAGTGACGCACACAACTAATACCCCATTCTCCAGCTATTTTCCACACAACAATAAATCTATGAGCTGAGTTGGGCTGAGAGAGAGTGACTGTCCCAAAGTCACCCAGCCAATTTACATGTCTAAGGCAGGACTAGAACTCACTGTCTCAGTTTCTAGCCTGAGGCCTTAATCGCTAGACTGAATTGGTGCTTATTATTTCTTATATTATATGGGGCTGCGGTGGCTCATGTGATAAGACTCTGGGCCTGCGCATTGCTGAAGTTGGCGGCTCAATTCCCGTGAGTGAATAAACCACATAGGTACAAGAAAGGAGCCTCCCCCAATTGCCTACCAGCATTCAGGTATCCCGCAGGTAAAGATAACACAGCCCCAAAAAATTCCTTTCACAGAGGCAGCCAGCCACCTCAGTGATCCCTGGCTAACACGTGCCATATGCTAAAAGAAATTTTAAAAAAATAACTTAATAATATTAAGAAGACTTATAGGTTGATAACTGACAGAGTGAGTCAGTCAGTCATTCCCTTTCTTAAGTACTGTATAGGCATAATGACCCCCAATCTTAAGGAATACAGTAGGATTTGTCAGTTGCTGTAAAGAATGATCCCAGTATAGCAGACCACTATGCTGCATTATTTTTAATTAAGTCAGGGGTGGTATCATCTGTACTTTCCAGATTTCAGTTGAGAAATTAGATCCATAATCCCTTGGCTTTTACTGGTTGCCAAAAAGGCAGCTCACTATGTCAGCATGTGGGGACCTGTTGGGCATTGAGCTGTTTTAGTAGACTTCAACTCTCAGCTCCATGTGATCAGCTGCACCAGAACTACAAACATCTGGTTCTGTTCATCAATAAACGGACCCTCTTATCAAGCGGTCTCCAGCCTCCATCTTGTCTCCAGTGCCTTTCTCCCGGCTTGGAACTGAACCAGATGGATATTTCTTCCAATACCACCTGGGAAGGATGGAAGGCTGAGTCCACCTTGAGCCTGGTGAGATTTGAACTGCCAAATTGCAGGCAACTGGCAGGCAGCAGAAGTACCCTGCACTCTGCCCTGCGGCCCACAGATCATAAAGGCAACCAATGAAATTTGCATGTTGTATTCCAGTCAGAAACTGATTGCCAGGCAGCCAAATAATCTGCATTGTATAAAGCTCTCTGCAGTTGCAGAGCACCAACCCTTTCAGGCAAGCCAGGCCAAGAATGGAACATAGCAAAGCCTATTAGAGGGGTATGATATTGTTGTTTGTTGTAATAAGAGAATATTGAAAGCCCATCAGAACTGCCTGCTAATCTTTTTCATGGGATGCAGAATCAAGAGAGGATTATTTTGAATCTCTCGAGTAAGAAGAAAGCTGAATTTATGTTTCTTTACTCCCTCTGTGAAGAGACATGGCTGTAACGCTGTCAAAAGTAATTGGATTAAGAAGGGTTTTATTGATCAGGGGAGAAACAACGCCCTCCTTTCTCCTGGGCCCCAGTGGAAAAAGCACCCTTTCTTCTCTGTTTGCAGCTGTCTTGCACACAGAATCCACTAGAGGTCTCTCTCTTCTCTCTGCAAAGAGAAGACAAGCCTATGTGCTTCAACAGGGGTGGGCAACTATGGCGCTTTTATGACTTGTGGACTTCAACTCCCAGAATTCCTGAGCCAGCCATGTTAGCTTAGAGAATTCTGGGAATTGAAGTCCACAAGTCAAAAAAGGGCCCCCTCTGCGCTTCAGCATTGGGCCACTGGAGGTATAACAGGTGGTTTAACCATAAGGAGAGTGGGAAGGAAGTGACATCAATGAGTCTTGCCCCTCTAGGATGCTTGCGTGCTCTTTCTTTTTTAACCCCTTGGGCTTAGAAAGGCTGCAGAAAAGTCTTTAAACGGAAGAGATCTAGAGGTGGGCGGGGTAAGTGTATCTTCCCGTGCAAAGGGAGGCAGAGAGTTCTCGCGCTAACGAAGGAAGGGACGGATCAGATGCTAAATCCTCATGCAGGTTCAATCTTCTAAATCCCGGGAGAGGGAGAGCCCGGATCTTATGTTACCCTGCCCCTCGTTTCCAGGCACGTAGCAGCTGGTAGGGGGAAAGGCGTGCTCCAGAGCAGCCGCGTTGCCCCAGGATTAAATCCAGATCCTCGGAGAGGAGGAGGAGGAGGAGGAGGTGTCTTGGGGGAATCCTTCACACCCCATATCCTCAGTGAAGTTCCTGAGTGGTGGGGAGATTGCCTCCATGGCAAATCTGGAGCAGGGAATAAGGAAAAAAAAATTGCAAAGGGGGAACTGCAGGAGATTGTGCCCGCCTTCTCCTTCTGTGCTGGATGACACTAAAATAGGGTTGGAATCTCAGCAGTTCAATTTGTCTTGGGAGGGTGAGTGAAGCAGGACATCACCAACCCCGGTGTTTCCTGTGAATTCAGCCCCTGCGGTATTTATTTATTTACTTACTTACTTACATACTTATTTGTTCGATTTCCCTGGCCACCCATAGAAACGTATTCGTGTTTAGAGCATGTTGTGTGAAGTTGCCTGCATGTAATGGTGCGATTTGGCTCTTAAAAAGCAAACCCTGAAGAAAGGGAAATGGAACGTCCTAAACCAGGTCATTTCATTTTATGTGAAGGTGATTGTTAAGCATTTGGCATGTTGTGTGAACCCTGCTTGTAGGTAAATGCAGATGCGGGTTTTATAAAGCAAGCCCTATCTTGATCACATGGTCTCGGGGCATTGAAACCTCCATAAATATATGCCAGTTGCCAAATGTCCAAATGTTACATAAATTTGAAAAACAGTCGTAAGTCATTTTTTTTTGTGCCGTTGTAACTTTGAACATTCATTCTGCAAATGGTTGTAATAAAAGTGGAATACAAATACTGGTAAATAAATATTAGATATTAATTTTGTTGTTAGTTGCAAAGTCATGTCTGACCCATCGCCACCCTATGGACAGTGTTCCTCCAGGCTTTCCTGTCTACCATCCTCTTGAGTCCATTTAAACTCATGCTTACTGCTTCAGTGACTCCATCCAGCCACCTCATTCTCTGTCGTCCCCTTCTTCTGTTGCCCTCAATCTTTCCCAGCATTAGGCTCTTCTCCATTGAGTCCTTCCTTCTCATTAGGTAGCCAAAATATTTGAGTTTCATCTTCAGGATCTGGCCTTCTAAAGAGTACTCAGGGTTGATCTCTAGGACTGACCAGTTTGATCGCCTTGCAGTCCAAGGGACTCGCAGGAGTCTTCTCCAGCACCATAGTTCAAAGGCCTCAACTCTTTGGCGCTCAGACTTTCTTATGGTTAGATATTAATGCACAGGCACTAACTGCTCATTGCCACTATAATCCTATACTATCTTAGAAAAATACTTTCTTCCATTGGGATAAGTGTTCTTCAGGGATTAAATCCACTAGTTTCTAATTCATGTCAGATACACAAATTGAATGCCATTTGTACATCCTCTTGTAGTGGCAAAACTGTCTCTTGGACAAAGACAACAGAATGACTTGTTCTGGTCATTACTGTGGCTAGAGGAATGGTCCTGTGAATAAAAAAAGGTGTTTGGAGATCCACAAGATTCCCTGGACCGATTTGGAGTTGCATTACAGGACAGAAAAAGAATGGAAAGTGAACCTTTAGGAAGTGAGGGAAGTGGAAAAGGCCCTTCTAGTATTCGGCCTGGGAACCAAGGGAAGATCTGGGCAGGAACTGGGCAGAAGATCCAGAAAGAG